GAACTCACGACCTTGTGCTTGCCAGGCAGGCACTTTTGCCGCTGAGCTAAATCCCCAGCCCCATAACAGCCATTTTCTATGGAAAATCCTGGACTATTTAGGAATCATATAATTAGAAAAGGGACACAGAATTTGAAATAGAATCACGTGAATCCCTGTGTAAAACTCAAATTACATAAAGGAAATATTGGAAAATAAATAAGTCCCAATACTTGAGATACTTAACATTATTTTAATTTGACTTTACCATGTTGAATTGGGACCCAAGACAGAATGCAGTTTGGCCTTTATTTAACATCAAGCCCAAAAGAAATTGCATGAAGAATAACATCTTTAAAAATTGATATTTAAAAATGATCATTAGTAATCAAAAGTATTGGTAATCAATGAAAGTGGGAAAAATCATACTGACAATGTGTAATAGAAAATCTAGTGGAAATACCTGATGAATGATCTATGGATGTATGCGAATTCTATCATTTTGTTGCAGGAGAATTGGACTTGACATAGCTCAGTGTAGAATAATCAGTGCAGAATAAATAGTACACGTGCCTGTGTGCCCTTACAGGAAGGAGAGCGGGGCTTCTCAGTGCTGTTTTTTACCTACTGGTCGAAGGCAAGTGGAAGATGAAGTGAAAGATTGCGCTTATGGTGGTCCCATCCAGGGAAAAGAGAGCTCAACTGAAAAGGTGGCCCATTTTCTGCCCACTAGTGGAAGTTAGAGTTGGTTATATTTGATTATATTGCCGTTGCAAATAAAATGAGTCACTGTCACATTAGTCATTGTTTCCAGAAACGGAGTGGAGAGGGGGAGCAGAGGAAGAGGGAGAAAAGCAAGAAAAAGAGAAGAGATTGGCTGACTCTTCAAAGTCAGATTTTTAATTTTATCAGCGCACGTTTGCAGTACGTAATGATCACATTCCTCCCATGGAGTTGTTACGCACAGAACACACCTTACTTCTCCGCCCTTTCCTCCTCCCTCCGTCTCTTGGTCCCCTTCACTTTTGCAAAAGTTCCGTTTCCCTGTCTTCTGTTATCTTTTAACTGGCTGCCCACATCAGGAGATTGACTCTGGAACCGTACCTTTCATCGTATACTCAGCTAAAATCAAAACGGGTCAAAGACTTGAATGTTAAAGCAGAAACAGTTAATTCACTGGAAGGCAAAACAGGTGAAACTCTTGAAGACACAGGCATGGCAAGGGCTTCCTGGACAGAACCCCAAATGCACAGGAAGTAGCATCAGGAATCAACAATGGGACCATATCAAATCCAAAACCTTCTGTATAGCAAAGTAAGTAATACAGTGAAGAGACAGCCTACAGAACGGGAAAAGTTTTTGGTTGATTTATTATAAGGAATTGGCTCATAAAGTTATGGAAAATGGCAAATCCAAATCTGCAGTGTGGGCCGGCAAGCTTGAGACCCAGGAGAGCTGATGATACAGATGAATGCAAAGGCATTAGGCTAGAGATTTTCCTCTTGCCCGGAAAGCCAGTCTTTGCCCTGTTCAGGCTGCAGGTGGTTGCATGAGGCCCATTCACAATATGGAAGGCAGTCTGTGGACTTAAAGTTCGTTTCTGCCTTTGTCACGTCATTTTGTAAATGTTTGGAATTTTATAGGAAAACGAGATTTTCTGAGTTATTAGCATTAATGAATGAACTCTCCAAGATACTCATTTTGAATAGAATGTGGCCTTTTTTCCCAACAGAAGCAATAAAAGCCTCTTTAGTCTCTTTGAAACCATCAGGAAGCTCTCACCGGGCCTTTTAGGACCACGGTCTGCAAAGGATTCACAGAAATCCTATTTGCTTCTTTATTAGCAACTTTCCCCCTCCTGGTTCCCCAGTTGGTGTGCCTCTTTCAAGACCAGTGGGGACCTCTTTGAGCCAGCCATCTGTACAGTTAGACCATTTCCAGGCTGGTTTTACTTGCTTGGATTAACCCAGGCGGAGCCATTGCGGCTGTACCCGACGTGTTCCTCTTTGCTGTGGGCCGGTGGCTTTGTTTCTCTGCAAGGGTCATCCTTAATACGAGTGGTGCCTTTTCCTCCTTGTATTTTGAAGTGATAATTTTAAAGCCTCTGCACATGGATAGATATCTTACTGGCCTTGAAAATCTGCATTTTTGTATTACCAAACTTCATGGATGCATTGGTAGGCTAAAAGCCTAAAGGTGTCTGCTGCAGGCATAGATTTCCACCCACAGTGCGGACAGAGCTCCACACTGCCCATCCCAGGGCTGAATGTTGAAAGTTGGTCTTAAATGCTGTTCCGGTTTTGTCAGGAACTTCACATGTGAATTGAGATTTCTTTTCTCGGGTGGCTGATTGGGCCTTTTGTGTTCCTCGTGCTTTACTGTCGGGCTTGCTTCCTCCCTTCGCTCTGCATTGTTCTCTTCCAGGGCAGCTTTATTCCAGCCTCTGTGGAACAGCCTGTCTGTCCTCGGCTGGCCCCGCCGCGCTGGTCTCATTCATAAAGCCGCTGAATGTCCTTCCAGCCACTGGGCTCAAGTTCTTCACTCTGGAATGAAATGAACATATGTTCATCTATTGTGAAGGCTGGATTCAGAATTTTTTCCGTGCTTGTTTTTTTCAGGGAAAGCATTTTTAGGTAGAGATCATTTGGGGGAAAATAATCAAGGGTCTTTGGTGAACTCTTTTTGGTTTTCTTAGCTGTTTTTGACAATAATTATTAATATAGAAATATTCAAATTGCAAAGGCCATGTTCTTTTTTAAAAAATAGACTTTATGATACATTCTTTTAAAATCTTCTCTGTTAATCCTAAACTTGCTAAAATTGTCAGTGTGCCAATTTAAACATCGGAACTGTATATATTTTAATATGTGACATTATTTAATAGTATTGGTTGCAAATATACAGACTACTTCATTTCTTAATACTTATACTTTCTCAGTAGATTACTGAGAAAATTACTAAGAAAATTACTACCTACATCAAATCCCGTACATATTGCCATTGAGTCAGTTTGAATCCAGTCAAGAGAAAGAAACCATATAGCAGATTAAATGGGGCAGAAGTTTGATATGTTACTACACTCTAAGAAGACAGTGACTATAAGATACAAGGAAATTCTGCGTGGTTTGTAGGACCCTACGAGAACACCCTGGGAAGGAGAAACTTGGAAGGCAGTTCCCTCCCCAAGGCGGGGGCTCACACCTCACTGGAGAAAGTGTGCTTCAGACCTCAGGACAGCAGAGGAAGTTGCTGTCTTGCTGGGCTGTCCTGGTCCACAGCTGCTTGGCAGGAAGAAAGTAGCCTGTGGGATGCAGGCAGGCCACAGGCCGGGCAGCTGTGCAGAGGGGCGGAGCCGTGGTGTAGGGAGGCACACTGGAACGCCGGCTTCTGTGTGGAGAGGGCTGTGGGAAGGTTGCCACGAAGCTAGGCCTGCGCCTAAGGTTGCGTGTTCTGTGCAGGGCTGGGGTAGAAAACGCCAGACCCCTCACACTTGCAGCAGCCGTGAGCACAGCCGCTTCCTCCAGCGGTTCCCTCCGTACTCTAAAAACGCAGAGGAGACGTGCTCCTAGGCTTCTGTCCCTTACGGCAGGGCACGTCTGTTACGCATGGGAAGGTTTGGAGCCGAGAGGCTGCACATGGACAACTAGCGGATTCACAGTCTCACCTACTCTGATCCCCGCCCCCGCCCCCCGCCATTTCCTTTTTTTCTCTTTACTGTTGCATGGATTTTACACCCTGACAACTGTGACGAAGTAGTCCAAGAACAAAGCTTCATGTTGAATTTTGGTGCCATTATCCAAGTCTCCTTGTCCCCATTCAACAGTAGTTAAACGGATAGTGAAATAGAGACACCACTTAGGCTGTGAGACACTGACTTTGTTAGCTTTTTTTTAATTTGTTAGTTTTTAACCCTTAATTCTTGGGACTCTGCAGTGACACCAGTTTTGGAATTGGCTGGCCAAGCTGCAGGTCCAAGAGAAATGAAGGGTAATGATTACAGCTGATTAAAGATAAAATCATGTTTTTATTATATCACAACTGAAATTCATGTATATAAATGTTAATAATTTGATTTTAAGCTACATCGCATTGATACGTAGAATGTGTTTCATTACTATTGTGGCTGATTATTTTAAAATGGCATTCCAGAGTGCTGTGTTAGTTTGTACCATCTTGAAAATGAGACTGTTAGTGAACAAACATGTTACCTACAAAAATAACCTTTAACGAAGTTACAATTTTAAAAATTCTGTACCTCTGAGTTCCTGCTGTGAGTCCTTATGCTTAAGCACAGACATTTTCAATGCTTTGAGATCTTACTTTCCTTGGAGCAGATTTGTATTTAGCTTCACTTCCTAGTGGATTTCCGAGCTCTTCATCCCCAGATCAGTTCAGTGTGACGGACGTCGGTCACAGTTCCCCTTCCTTCCGTCAGCGGTGTCTGTCCGCTGGGTGAATGGCTGCTAATAATGTATTTGGGATCTGTAGGACACTGCAGCGTGTGCTGGGGGGAGGCAGGAAGCCTCACCATCACCGTCATGCTCAGGTTCTCCGTTTGCTGTCGCCCCGGAGGGATTTCTTTGTTCCCAAATAAATTTTTCAGACTTCAGTTTTAGAAATCAGTTTCCCAGTCTTGCTAATCAGCCCATGAATAGTGATTTTTCAGAGAAGGGTAGGAGGCTGAAATGGCCACATAAAATGTGTAAAGAGTCAAGGCTGATCATCTCAAAAAATCAAAGATAATGCCTTTCATTTTTATTATTCCTATCAATCAAAAGGATTATAGCTGTGTATCTGACCTCATCTTGTAGTGATGGGACGCTAATACATTTCCCAGGCAGGGGATACAGCTCAGTGGCACAGCGCCTGCCTGCCCAGCACAAGGTCCTGAATTCGATTCCCGGTACCGCACACACACACACACACACACACACACACACACACACCCCGCCACCAAAAAAAATCCCATTTACTTCTCTTTACCCTGACACATTTCTGTTTTTCTGCGCTCAGACTGCAGACACTGGCTGCGCTCTGCTTGGGTTTCTTTGTGCCCTGTCAGCAGCCATCCTTGTTCTGAGCATACGCTTTCCAGGCTTCCCGCCACCCCCAGTGACCCATCTTGGGAAAAGGCTCCCCTGGCTCTCTGTTCTGCCCGAGTACTGCATTCCACTAGCTCTGCAGATCAGCAGCGGGTGGTAAGTGGGGCTTTCCAGCTTACGTGGAAAGCAGCAGAGATGGTCACTGAATGAAGCCCTCATTTGGCCACCTAACAGGAAGAGAAACCTGAGAGTCCCTACCGCACTGTGGCCTATTTTAGCTGGTTACATCTCGGGACGGTTCTGCATTCTCCGGCCCTAGAAGGGGCCTCGTGGCCCTCTTTGAACAGGAACGGCCTGTGTCTGCAGGTTCCTGTGGCGATGTGTTCGAGTACGCGCCCGTCTCTCCCCGAGTGCATCGGGACGCGGGTACCGACTAAGGCGGAAGTCCCCGCCGTCTCCTCTGTCCTCATCTGCCCCTCCCCGTTCTCCAGCAGCTCACGCGGTCCCCTCCTCCGCCCCCTGGCTGTGCACCCCGAGTCCCACCCGCTTCAGTCGTGCTCACAGACTATCTCCTCCTTGGCGCTCTTGGTCAGTTCCTGAATCCCCAGTGCCAAACAGAGAACACCCCATTTTGGAAGCCAGTTTGGAGCAGTTCCGCTTCCTGCTGTGCTGCTCCGCAGCTCCCGCCGAAGCCATGCCCGACCCCCTCGGAAGCCTGAGCTCCTGTTCTGCTGCCTGCTGAGTGCCCTTGGCACGCACATTCCTACAGTTCACTCAACTTCGGTGTTTTTTATTTTCTCTCTGAACGTGAAAGCTTCCGAAAGCAGGAATACATAGCACCCTTCATTTCCCCGTGGCGTCTGATAGTGGTATAAACGTGGTAGGTGATCAGTAACTGTTTGTTCAGCGAGTGGGTAACCCCAGCTTCTGGTGGTCTGCCTCACTGGGGATGGGCTCACGTTAGTATTGTTCCATCATTCTGAAGACCGTGTACAGTTCTGGAATGAAGAGACAAGGATCTTGCTTAAATTTATCTTCCTTAAATTGGAGCAAGGATCTTGCTCCAGTTTACAATGGAGGTATCAAGATATTGGAAAATATGTATTCTCATAGGTCAAAGTACAAAGATATTAGTATACTGACTACCAATGGGGTAAGGGGACAAAGCACAAAACATATTGGTTCTAATAAATGCTAGGTCCTTTTGCTTTTTAGTCTGTGACGTGATACCAAATAATGGACATTGTATAAATTGTAAAATAAGAGTATTTAACATCTCTTTCAAAATACTGAATGATGTTGGGAATAAAATAAACACAGTTGTGGTTCACATTATAAAATCAAAGAACTAAACTGCATGCATTTACCTCAGGCCGCTCTTCCTTTTCTCAGATTTACCTTTCTAATTATATTTGGCTTAAGCTGATACTTAAATTACTTTGGATCCCTGCGAACAATATATTTCATGTGTCAAGAGGACATACATTTAACAGCTATGAAACTATCTGCAAAAAAAGCTTATTTCCTTCTCACAGGATCTTTTTTAAGAATCAAAACACACAACTGATTTTTAAAAAGTCTTAACAAGGTTTATGTAGTAGCTTAATAGGGTATATAAATTCATTTAGTTTACCTTCTACATTTATTTCTGTGTTTTCTTCTCTTTGTGCTTCCTAACCGACAGAAACATCTTAAGTAGATGTAATCATACTGCTACAAACTGAAACGTTAGCTCAAGCAAATGGCAGAGGACGACAGTGTAAGTTAATCAGGCACTGTCTAAACCAGTCGTAGCGAACCTATGGCCCACATGCCTCAGCGGGCTGTTTGTATCACTGAATGCTCTAAAAGGTTCGCCATCGTTGGTCTAGACAGGTTTATTAATGAGCTAATGTGTCCTTCTGAGGAAAGAACACAAGAGGTGTCCAGTTCTGGGTCCTAGATCTGACCCTGCCTTACTACAAGGGTTTGAGAGTGTAGTAACTGTTCTTACTTCTTTTTCTTTTCTAACCAGAGGACCAAGATGAGAACATAAATCATCTTGGTGTTATTTGATATGCTATTCCCAAACACCAAAGGAGTGAAAATCAAATATTATGAATCAAGACTTAGCGTAGTGGAAATTACTTATTTAGTGGTTTTAATGGACTTTTATTTGAGAAACAGCTGAAATTATTCAACCAGTGTCTCCAAAAAGAGATGAGATGTTTAAAATTATTCATGTATTGGTCACATTTTTATGGATGGGATTTTAGTGATGTTGTAAAATCAGTTTCATTATTTAGAAAGTGATTTTGATGCACTTTAAAAAATTTATAGTAAGTTATCTCATTAGCTTATGGTTTTTTTCTGATGTTTTAAAAAATGTTTTACATTGATACATAATTTTACATCCATGGACTGCAGTGTGACATTTAAATACATGTGTGGTGGCAGCTGTCACAGCCATCATCTGAAACATTTATGATTTCTTTGTATTGGGAACACTGAGAAGGCACTCCCTTAGCTGTGTTGAAATACTCACTTAATTGCTGTCATCCATAGTTATCCTACTGGGCTATAAAAATTTAGTTTCTCCTCCTAACAACTACACTCCGGCCTCCATTTCTCCCCCAACACCCTCCCCATAGTTCTGTGCTCTCGATATCAACTCTTTAGCTTTCACATATAAATGAGGACATACAGTATTTGATTTTTGTGTCTTATTTCATTTAACATATTGTCCTCCAGTTCCATCCTTGTTCTGCCAATGACAGAATTTCATTCTTTTTATGGCTGAATAATATTATGATCTATTTCACATTTTCCTTATCCATTCACCTGCCAATGGTTGATTCCATATCTCAGTATTGGGCATAGTGCTGTAATGAATATGCAAATACAGGTATCAGTTTACTGATTTCTCTTACTTTGAATATATATCCAGTATTGGGATTAATGGGTCATATGGTAGTTCAATTTCTAGTTAGTTGTTTGTTTTGGCTTGTTTTTTGAGACAGGGTCTTGCTATGCAGTTTAGGCTTGGCTTGGACTCACTGTGTAGCCCACACTAGTCTTGAACTCGCAGTGATCCTCCTGCCTCAGCCTCCTGAGTGCTGAGATTACAGGCATGCACCACCACGCCTGGCTCTTGGCTTGTTTTTGGATGCTGGACACTGAACTCAGTCTTACCCATGCTAGGCAAGTGCTTTTCCACTGAGGTGTATCCCTGTTCTGTTTTCTACAACGCTGAATTACTTTACATTCACACCAACAGTATTAGGTGAGCTCCCTTTTTCCACATCCTTGCCAGCATTAGTTATCTTTTGCCTTCTTGATAATGGCCATTCTAACTGGGGTAATATCTCATTGGGTTTTGTTTGCATCTCTCTGATAAGTTATGCTGAGCATTTTTTCATGTACTTGTTGGCCACTTATATATCATATTTTAAGAAATTTCTATTCAGGTCATTTGCCCATTTTTAAATCGGGTCATTTGTGTTCTATTTGTTATTTTTTGGCTATTGAGTTGTGTTCCTTATATATTCCAGATATTAATTCCACGAACAATTTGCATATATTTTCTCCTTTCTGTCGATTATCTCTTCACTGTTTTTTGCTTTGATGTGTAGAAGCATTTTTATATAATTCCATTTATCATTTTTTACTTTTGTTTCCTGTGCTTTGGGGTTATATCAGGAAAATTTTTGTTCAGACTAATGTCCTGAAGTGTTTCTCTTATTTTTTTTCTAATAGTTTCATAATTTTAAGGTCTTACATTTGAGTCTTTGATAAATTTTGAGTTAACTTTTTTATGTGATGAGAGAGAGGGCTTCAAATTACTTCAAAAAGATTTCAGACAGATATAAACCTCAAACTCATTAACTTTTTACATATGTTTAATGGGCATTAAATATTGTAATGAAGTATAGTCTTTGCTTTCCAATGAATGAGCTTTGTGATTGATTTGAAGTGTCACTAGCAAACTAAGATCCCACTTCCCAGGAATATTTTAAGAACAAGGTTAAGAATATATATAATTCTTAATAAAAGAAATTAAGGCTCCTTGAGAAATGGCAAATTCCCACACTGGGGCAGGGAAAGTAAAATAAACCAGTAATGTCTTTTGGTGCCAGAAAATAAGGAAGTCTTCAAACTTGAATACAGGCATGTTGAGAGGATACAGTTGCTGCCGTTAAGGAGCGCTGTGTTTGTCACCTTTCTGTAACTGTGGGAGAACACCTCAGTAATGAACTTACTGGAGGAAAGGTTTTTTGGGCTCACGTTTGCGGGGGTTCAGTCCATGTTCAGTTGGCTTGTAGCCCATGGCAAAGCAGAAACATTGTGGTGGGAGCACATGGTAGAGCCAAGCTGATCACTTCATGGCACTGGGAAGCTGAAAGACAAGGAGCAAGGGAGACCCAGGGTCCCAGTGTCTCCTTCAAGGGTACTTGCAGGGACCTAAGGAGGCCCCACCTCCAAAAGGTTCTGCCACCTCCCAGTAGTATCTTGGGCTGGGAACTAAGCTTTCAAAGAACAGGCCTTTGTGGGGCATCAAAGGTCCAAACTGTAGTAAGCTCCAAGAGCAAACTGTAGGACACTTTAAACAATCAAATAAATGAGAGTAATGAGTAGCAACCCATAAAATAAAATATCTGAGTCTGTGCTTAGGTAAATCATTGAAGAAATTGAAGGAGAAAGGAATGGCTGTTGGTGGTTACACAGAATGCCGGTTAATAAATATAGGAATGCTAGACATGGAAACACTACCTTAATGATTGTGACAGATGCCTCAGAAATAATTTTCAAAAACAAGATCCACCTATGCTTGTTAGAATCACTGAGCAACAGTATGAAGAGAAACAGGGTTTTCATGGTTTCAAAATATCTCTAACAAAACAGTAACTTTATAGTGGAGAAACCTAGGCAAATACCATGTCAAGCAGGTATTTAGAGTTAACCAACTCCACCTGTGATGGGATGTGTCGACTGAAGTCCCTCCCTCCTGAGGATGCACTGAAAGGGCACAACGACATTTCTGTGGAACTTTTTTCTCCTGTTGTCTTCAGTATTTTTTATTTTAAAAAATCGTAGATGTCACATGCAGTTTTGCGATAAACAGAGTTCTGTGTACCCTTTACCAAGTATTCCCCGTGGCAGCTCAGCTGCAAAGCAGTAGGAGAGTAGGACAACCAAGTATTAACACTGGATAGTTTAGTCACAGGACATTTCCATCGGCACAAGGGTCCTTAACATTGCTCTGGGGGACAGCCATGCCTCTATTTTTTTTTTTTTTTAACTTCGTTTCTCTTTGTCATTACTGAGTGGGAAGATTCTTCGTTTATTCTGGAGCATATGAAGTTTTTTCTACAGTCTGTTAATATAATAAATTATGCCAATTTTTAAAGAAATTTTTAAATAGTCGTAAAAATTTACATAATATTTATCATCCTAACCACTTTACAGTGTATAATCCAGTGACTTTAAATTACATTTCTGTTGTACAGCTGTCACAACCATCTATTTCCACAACTCTTCATCTTGCAAAATTCAAACTTCTGGTTAACAATTTCCTATTTCCTCTTATGCCCCAGTCCTGGAAAATACCATTCTGCTTTCTGTCCAGATGAATTTGGTTACTCTTGGCACCTCAAGTAAGTGGAATCATAGTGTTCGTCTTACTGCGACTGGCTTATTTCACTCAGCACAGTATCCTCAGGATTCATCCATGTTGTAGCGTGTGTCGGAGTTTCCTTCTTTTAAGGCTGAAATTCATATGAACGGTTTATCTGGTCATCTGTTGACAGACATTTGGGTTGCTCGTGGCTGTTGTACATAATTTTGCTAGTACGTGAGTGCACCAATGCCTCTTTTAGACCCTGGGTGTATACCCAGAAGTGGAATTTCTGGGTCAGATGGTATCTAGACCCTTATTTTAATCTCATCCTTCTACTTTTCTTTAAGCCTTCAGTCTGGTATCTTTGTCTTTTACAGCTTTAAGTTTCAAAAGTTCTCATCCATGTTTAACTGGCACAGCCGACCCCGCTGTTCTGAGAGTATTGTGGCTGTTGAGTTTCCTGGCCATTTGGAAACCCCTTTGTTTTAGTCCTCACTAGACTATGCTCATTTTATTCTTAGTAAGTCCAGAAGTCACGACTCAGGATCTTTTTAGGTTTGGAGCTGCTGTTGAGAACATGGGGCAGTGCACCATAGGGGCAGAAGTTACTGGGGACCGAAGCCAAACACTAACCCCTTTGGAGTCTAGAAAGCACGTGTTTGCTATGAACTTTGTAAACTTTTTTTCTTTTTTGGCGGTGCTAGGGGTAGAACCCAGGACCTCACACGTTAGTTAAGCACTCTACTCCAGGCATATTTTTAAAACTTACTTGTGTTTCTAAGCAAATCAAACAATATAGCATTGGTTTTAGTTACTTTCTCATTGCTGGGACAAAATACCTGACACCCACAAGTTAGAGGAGGAAAGGTTTATTTTAACTTGGTTTGTGGGGTTTTGGTCCTTAGTCAGCTGGCCCCGAGGCAGGGTGGCCTGGCAGAGGGGCATCGCAGAGGAGAAAGCGCTCATGGAGTGGCAGACAGAAAGAGGCAGCGGCAGGATCAAGGAAGGAGAAGGGACATATATACACCGTCCCGGCCGTGTGCACAGGGATCTGGACCTTTCCACCAGGCTTCACCCCCAAGAGCACACCCAGGAGAACCTATCCATGAACCAGTCTGGTACCACACACCCACCATCCAGTCGCCTCCCCAAAGCCCACCTCTGAGTGCATGAGGCTTTGGGGGCCATCTCGACACAAGCCCTAATGGCATTACGTAGTAATTACATTAGAAAGGGGGATACTAAACTTTACTTGTGTGGGCTCTTTACTATTCTTCTCTCTCTCTTTGCATCTGTATTCCCAGATCGTGGGGTCTGACCCAGCTCCAAGTTAGCGCATTTAGTGGGTGCACCTTGCACAAGGAATGGAACCCAGACTGCAGGCACGCCCCCCACCCCGCCCCACCGCCCCCGCGTCTCTGCTCACCGCGTGTCTCCATTGGCTCAGACCGCTTAGTACAAAGCCAGGCTTGATGGCCTAACCAGCGAGCATGTCTCACCAGGTGGAAGCTGGCAAGTCTGAAATCCAAGCGCTGGCAGAGTCAGTGGCCAGTGAGGGCACTCAGTGTGAATCCTCCCATGAAGAGAGAGGGCTGTGCCTTTTCATCTCCTGCGAAGGGCACCAGACTCGTTGCAGGAGCTCGCGCCTTGTGTCCCATCTAAAGCTAACTGCAGAGCCTCGCCTCCAAACCCCATCGCACTGGGCTGTCAACATATGACTCTTGGTGGTGACAGTATTCGTCCCATAGTGCCACATTCCAAAAATAAGAAGAGCTTTGGGGGAGAGGGGGCCAGTGAGAGAAAGGGAGAAGAACCAAGAGGAGAGAAACTAAGGAAAATGTGCAGCAGCACGGAAGAGGAAGCACAGAGCAGGGTGAGAGGGGCTAGTGAGGCGGGAGAGTGAAGTCCCAGGCAGGCTCGCGTCTTCCCTCCATCCCTGGACCAAAGCCCTGCTCCCTCCACGACTGAGGATGGTTCTGGAAATTTGGGGTTTTTTTTGTTTTTGTTTTTAGTACCGGAATTGAATTCAGAGGCCTGTGCTCACCGGGCAGGCACTGTGCGGCTGAGCTATCTTCCCGGAGGCTCTGGAAGTTTGGGGTCCACGGCCAGGAGCCTCCTCTGGCTGGGACAGAAACCAGCCATGGTTAGCTGAGTCTGCGCTCCGCAAAAGTACTTCTTCAGTGCCTGCTCCCCGCAACCCCCAAAGCTCAGTGACCTCTGGCCACAGATAGAGAAGACCGGACTTCATTCCAGTCATTTTGTTCAGCACTGTGTGGACAGGACGGGGCCATTCCCCAAGTTTCTGCTGCATCTCGTGCCCACACACCCTACTCTAACCCTGAGGCTGAGGTCTGCAGGGAGGCGCCAAGGCCTGCCTTTGTCCACAGCGCTTAGAGGCAGGGCCTGCTGTGCCGCCTGGGAGATCTGCCCTGCTTTCCACTCTGCCTGGCGGTAGGAACCCTGTGCTTTACCATACAAGGAAACGGAGGCACCTGCTCTACCCTAAACTCAGCGCCCCAGGCAGGTGTGAGTGGGCTCTTCTAACGTTTTTATCACACGGTAGCATTTACATGACATTTGTCCAGGTTTGGAAGCACACCTGGGAACCTGAAGGCGTAACACTCTTTGGCTTTTAAATATACCTTTCCCATGTGGCACTCCAGGATGAAGCTGAAAATATTTTTAGAGTAACTTAATTACAAAGAAATTGTGACATCTAAGGTTTTTCTGTCTGGTTTGGGTTCAGGAATCAGGAAACAAATAAAAAATGCAAGTAGGCTGGCTTGATATTCATAGATTACTGAGGGTGCATGATTTGTGGTGTAGAGTATCACTCACATTTCTGATCTGAAATCACTATTCTTCCGTGGATAAATTAACAGTTAAAATTAAAAAAACACCAAAGACAGTTTCATTACAGATGGGATTCACATGATTTTCAGTCTAACGGAGAAATCAAACAGGAGCAAATGACATGCATGATGAGTGATTTGCTAACCAAAAGACACTCATCAGGACATCGTAAATTAGTGATTCCTGACCAGGAGGCAGTGGCCTTCTGGGGACATTAAACAATGTTTTGATTCTCTTTGGTTCTTATGCTTGGGGAGGAGCTGCTGCTGCTTCTGGCAGGAGGAGGATGGTGCTCAGTACCCTGCAGGGCATAGGATACCCCCACCCCCACCCCCACACAGTTGTCTTGAGCAAAAATGCCAGTGGTGCTAAGGTGAAAAAGCTCTGCCACAAATATGCACACAAGATGCAACTTGAGCTGACTGGTAATAGTTAATGTAAATTAGGAAAAATCCAAGACAGTGCCCACAATAGTGACTATTGCTTCAGGATTTGGGAGCCATTTTTCCCTTTGGTTTATTTTACAATCATCTTAGAGTTACAGACTGGATAATTTTCATCTTGGTACTCGGCACAAAGCAGGCTCTGCTCTGTGTGAAATGAAGTAGAGAGAACGGGGACAGACGCATGAGGACCCGATCCACTTGGGTCTCACGGCCATGTGAGCCGTGCATCGGTTGAGGGCTGAGAGAGGAGCGAACACTGGGCTGTGTCTGCTCGGCGTGGGCTGCTGAGTCTGGAGTCCGGAGAATGCCTCTCCCCTAGGCCACGGGTGCGCTTCGGCCTTGAGAATCACTCCCCCTCACCCTGATGCAGTCATGGGCGTGAACAGGCCAGTCCAGAGGCCACTGCCTGTATAAATAGATGTGATCCGATGAGAGCATACGACCGAGGGCCTGGGGGCGGCTCCACGGCAGACCTGGGTACTTAGCACGTTCACGGCCCTGGGTTTGATTCCCAGCACCATCAACCAAACCCAGAAACCTAGAAGGTGAATGTCCTCCATGATTCTGGGGATAAATTGGCATATATTCTTCCAGTTTTTAAATGTATATATTAACTTTAAAGATAAAACTGGAATTATAATTTTATAGTATATTACCATTTGACAGCTGTGTTTTTACCATACTATACACACTATATTGTGTATTTTACCACAAGGCCATTCCTTGTTCCAGTGTGACAGTGAATCATTTAATGTCGTCTGTAAAATAAGGACTGCAGCATCCATCCCTTCCCCTTCAGAGGCATTAGAACAACTCCTAGGTTAAAATCGGGGAAGTACATTGAGTCTCTTAGAGGACTAGTATTCTACACTGTGCTTTTTAAACGGATTACAACAGTGTTGAATGACTATGACTAGTTTCTTTTGAGATGTTACTGAAATAGTGTTTTAAACATTGAGTCATGAGAAGGCAGTGATTACAGGTATGTCAGTGCAGTTTGTGTAAACTCAGACTTCACCTGCGTCTCTTGTGACCCACAGGCAAGTACGTGTATCAGCCTATGACCCCGGTGGAACAGCTCCCCAGCACCAAGATTCCCGCCAGGCCCCGGGAACCCCCCGACACCATTCAGATCTCAGTGTCGCTCACCGAACACTTTCTGAAGTTCGCTTCTGTCTTCCAGCCTCCCCTTCCCCCTGACTCGCCGAGATACTGCATGATTTCAGACCTCTTCCTCGACAACTATCAGGTGAAATGCATCAACGGGAAGATGTGCTACGTGCAGAAGCAGCCGCCCCCACACTCCCCCAAGACGAGCCCCGAGGAGGTCTCTGCACATGGTGCCTTAATTCCAAAAGCGAGCAACACACCAAAAAGGGGTCACTGCTCCTCTCCCTCCAGTTCTGAGGACTCCGGGATCAACGCGATCGGGGCCCACTATGTGGAGTCGTGTGACGAGGACACGGAAGGAGGGGCAGAACTGAGCTCCGAGGAGGATTACAGCCCAGAGAGCAGCTGGGAGCCGGATGAGTGCACCCTGCTTTCGCCGTCGCAGTCTGACCTGGAAGTGATTGAAACCATAGAAACCACGGTGTGAGGTGCGAGCGCCCGCGGGGAGCCGCGCCCCGATCCGCGCCGAGCTTTTGTACTTTTGTCTGATGGACCCTTTTCCAGTGCTGTTGGTGTTTTCTACCCGCTTGTACCAACCATAGCAGTTCGGTGGTCTGCTGGTGAGCGTCACTCTTAGTCTTATAACCAAGACCTTTTTATTACCAACGGTTTTCTTTTGTATCTTGACTTACTTTCTATGTAGCATCTGGTGTCACGTATTTTGACCCCGCCTTAATTTCCCTGGGAACTTTTGAAAGCAGCGAAGTGATGAGCACAGAGTATCATGGATCAGATGGAGGAGCTACCCAGAGCGAAGGCGACTGTATTTCCCAGACAGCCTGTCCTCTGCAGAAAGACTTTCGGTGTCATCTGCACACGCAGGCAGCACCCCTGTCCCGCCAGCCCCCCGGGCAAGCAGCTCACTGGAGAAATCTGGTGTCGCTGGGCAGTGCTCTTCATTCCCCGTGCTTCTGTCTACTTTCTGCATGGGGTCCGGACCAGAGCCGCCCCACGTACTCCTGGGAGCTTCCTGGAGGACAAGTGGCTTCTGGTGATGGCCAGTGTCTGCATGACCCTCCACGCCAGGGCCGAGCTAGACCTTCAGAGCGGAGAGAGGACTCTTCAGGGTGTCTGCACACTGCAGGGGCTGCGGGAGACAGCCGGAGTAAAACTGGATGCCCACTGCGAACGGCCCACCTTCCAGCACCAACTAGCACCCGCCAGGCTGTGGGAACCCAGGGGAAGGGGAGGCGGACTTGGCTCGGGCATTTGAGTTGGCCTCTTGGGTGGGTTCCCATTTCCCCGGCTTTTCTTAATTGTTCTTCAGATCTGAGGAAAACATTTAGAAAGTTCTGTAGGTATTGTATTTAGGAGGCAGCCACATTTAACATCTTAAAAACATAGTTTTAGTTAGCATGGAAATGCTACAAGACAGAAGTCCTATAGGAATTAGGAATGAATCTAATAGGTTTGATTAATTCTGCTTCATTTGGTTGTATGAAGCATTAGAATGGCTTTAGGTGAGAAATGGATTAGAATTCAATATGATGCATGGATTTTTTATGCAAATGAAAAACCATCTGAAATAGTTCACTGCTAAGTCAGGAGCAAATATTTTGTGTAACAGTCACTAATTGTCACAACCCGTTGTATATGTCCTCTGTCACATGCACAGAATCAGTTTTTATTTGGCTCTCTTCAGAATTTTACTCCTGCTCTCTCCACTTATACCATGTTAGTTGGTTCTCTGCCATTTCTCCAAATCTTCTGTACGTGAAGCATAGTTAAGAATCGAGGAAGTTTCAGTATGGCCTGATGAAACGACAGCCGCTGAGCTGGAGAGCAGCACTCTGGTACCCGGGCTATCTGTGAGCGCGCTCCTGCGGCACATCCCGTGCTCCGCCAGCATTATGACGTCTCCTGTGTGTCACCGTAGCTGTGGTTTAGGAAGGAGGTGGCTTGCAGCTTTCTTCCCTGACGTCTTCAGGACTTGTTAGGCTTAGGTCCCCAGAACATCCACAGGGTTGAGAAGGCAGAGTATGGGTTTTCCTTTGAAAACAGTGTTAGTTACAACTTTCTGTGCTAGATGAGAGAGCAGCTCAAGGTTCCCACCTACTGAAATTTAAAGGCTCAGCAAGTCAAACCAAGAAGGCGACAGGAAGAGCAGGAACGGTGAGGAGGGAGGGCAGGTGGACGCGGGAGAAAGGCTGACAGCATGTCCTTGCCACCCTGGCCCTGGCGGCCTGGGGGTGTCTGATGAGCCCTGGCAGAGGGTCTTGGTGCCTCCCTTGAGAGAGGAGCCAGAGGAAGGCAGGGAGGGGAGCCAGATGCCCGCCAGCCACAAGTCAGTCTTACGTGCTCAGGGTTGTTAGGGCAACCCCTGCCCCTTCTAGCGTGCCCACCGGACAAGCGCTTTGAGTCCCCTGGGCGGGATGCAGTGGGCGTCTTCTCTACACCATTGCCCCTGCTTTTCTATTACGGGCCCACAGCCACGCCAGTTAGACGAACCGGCGTCAGCAGTCAAGTCTCTAAGCCATGGAGCTCACGTTCATGGGGCCACGCTTCTGAAGCTCCGTATGCGTCAAGGTTGGGCCCTTTCCCAGTAATATCAGTGACTTTTGTCCAGGTTCCTGTTTTTTATCCTCTTGAACTGCCAGATTAGCCACAATTTTAACGGAATTTTTGGATGTAATAATGGTTGATAACCACTTTCAATATTTGCACAATCTCTTTATAATTAAAACTCACAAAGCTTCACTTTTATAGAATTGGAGACGTTCCATTGGGTTCTAAATCTTAGATACTCCTGGATCTCAAAACAGCCTTTCCTAAATAAGCACAAGCAAGAATTCCTTTTGTCCTAGCACTGTTAATACTAATAATTCTCTGAAATATGATTGAACTGGACTTGTTTATGCTTGCATTCTGAAATCAACTAAGGATATAAAAGTACGTACTTTGAACGTAAATTCTAGGCCTATTCTCTTCCATATTATATGAAGGAATCTATAATCCTGGTATTATATTGCTAATTTACATAAGCGTATCTATAGGCACTTTAGAAGTATTTAGACTGCACTGTGTACCATAGGCATTAAGCACAGTCATGTTAAATAGGCTTGATTAATAGCTGTACGGTGAGACATGATTGCTTTATCATTTGCACCTAGAATGCTCGCTTCAGCACAGGCTGGGCCGTGTGGATGGCTAAACTGCTGTCCTGGGCTCTTGTGGACACTGGCACTGTTCCCCCTTTAAGAAAGTTGGCATAAAGGCTACAGATAGAAACTTAATTCCTCCCAATGTGGAACTTGGCTTTCTTATCTAACCAGGATTTTAGAATTTAAATTTCAAAACTGCTTTTGTGATTATAACCATTTGGTACTGCAAGGCTTTAATATCAAATCTATTTTTTATATTATAATTTTTAAGGTATAACATGAGAATTTGAGGAAATCTTTAAAAGGCAAAAGATTTATACAATCTGAAGAGAAACCAGAGTATGAGGAAATCTTTAAAAAAAAAAAAAAAGTTGACTTGGATTTCAGAGTAGTACAATACAAAAACCAAGACCAGAACAAAACCACATAGTTGTTTGCTGAGATACTTTGGATTTGAATTAAGATTTGTTTGTATCTTGGGAATGGTAGCTTTAGTCCTTAACCTCTACTTCCTGGTCTGTTTGAAACGTGACAGTTCTTTTTAGATGATCATAACAAACACCTCTGAAGCAAATTTAATTCTCTATCTGGGAAAGAGGATGCAACCAGATACGTTAGAAAGCTGTCAAAATAAGGAAAACGGCACAAGTTGAATAAAGTAGTATTTATACAGTTAGATCTTGATTATTCCCAAGATACTCTGTTTGCAAAATTTTCCTGTCACATTTTGGTTTTCTACATGAGGAAAACAATTGAACCATTTCTGTCCCCTTGCCCAGAGGAGGTGTGAACAGGAAGCAGTCGGGAGACGACTTCGCTGTAGGCTTGGGGAACGTGTGCTGCTTTTCCCACGCTGGGGAGAAGGCAGATGACCCGACTTGTGTATCTGTGCTGCGTGTTCTAGGGATGTCAGCTTGTCTCAGGTCCGAACATTAATACAAGGTTACTTCTTAAAATTCACCATTTGAAAATGCGCCCCTGCACCTTGTCATGACTGCGGTAACCAAGCGGCGAGCGTTGTTTCAGTTGGCACTGGAGCTGTTTCCAGTCGAGGTGGAGCAGGACCCTCCCCCGTGGCTGCCAGCCCGTCCCGGAGGTTTGAGTTCGAGCTCTGGGATCCTGATGTTCACACGTGCTGTGTGAGGCTGTTCATACTTTGCAATATTCAGTTCTGTGCTATTTTTTTTTAAACTGTGTTATAAAGTTTTAAGCACAATGTTGACTCTTCTACAATTTCCTAAAGTTATACTGTTTTCCTGAGACATCTCAACTTTCCTTTCATGTGTAATACTAAAATACTGCCGTGTAAAATAAAAGTGATTTTCTTTTGTATCAGAACAAATCTGCTGTTTGGGAGATTAAAACCCCCACCATAGGAGAGTTCTGTCAGATTTAAACAACTGCGGTAAAAGCTAAAAACAAAAACCCACATGGCAAGTATTTACCGTGTGCTAAGAAGTAAGCAATTTATGCTCATTATCCCACTTAAACTTTACGAAGTGCAGGCAGATAGAATCCACACTGTGCGTGTGGCTACCATTCATGACTCCCACAACTCTGTAATAACTGTTGGTTGGCTACATTAGGTTTATATCTAATAAAACAAATTCCCCCACAACTAGCGTTTATTTCACACGAGCCGCATAAGGCATCGTAGCTGCAGGTCGTGCCATGAGGGAGGCTGCAGCCCCGCAGGCCTTGGGGTTCCCGGGGTGTCAGGGGTCACTCGGGTCACCAAGGCTCAGTGCACGGCCCCAGCATGGCACGTCCAGGATCTGGGTGCTTTTGTTGAGCACACACAGAAAACAGCTTCTGGGCTCGGCTGCTGTTGAGCAGCCTCCCGAGAGACTGGTAAGTACATTATCAGTAACAGTATCACCGCTCCTCTTGTTAGTAGCTACAGCCCAACAGCAGCCTCTGCTTTCTGCGCGTAGGCTGCAAAGGGCAGTGTTTGTCATTCGGAGGAGTTAGATTTGCACCCGGAACATGGGCCGAGGGGTCCCTATACTCTGCACCCTTTGCCTACATTACTGTATTGTCCCTGCATTACTCCATTGTCCCCAAGGCAGCAAACACCTTGCCACAGCCTGGGGACTCCTTTCTCATGCCCCACACAGCAGCCCTCCTGACACGTGCAAACACGCGCGCCCCTGTGCCCGCAGGGCCCTCTGCCCGGGTCGGGCTGCCGCTGCCTCTGTTAACCGCAACTCCACAATCTCTCTAGGCTAGCCTTTTCTGCTTCACAAAGGTAACTTGTCTTCTGAAGTGACTCCTGCCGGCCACTAATCCCGTCTACTACATGTGCATTCTACTGATTTACTTCCACTTAACTGTATTGCCGATTTCTGGAAGGCATCTTATTGTAGCCTCTTACAGATGCTGACTACACAGGCTTTAATTCTGCAATAGACTTTAAGGTAGCTTCCCATCCTCCTTACTGCTCAGTCGGTGGGAACACCTTTAACCCTTGCTGTGCCAGGCAGCCAGTGCTCAGTGAGAGCACCATGATGGGACCAAGACAGGACTTCAGGACTCGGTCTCGCTGCAGCAGGATGCAAGGACAGGCAATTAGAGGTCAGGCGCGGTGGTTCTGAGCCAGGGAGATAAAAGAAGTTGATGGAAATACAAGGAAAAAGACAAAGTACATATGTCAAGATATTAAGTAATTTTCTGATTACTTTGATTTTTTAGCTTTCTAAAATGAATACATATTACTTGTATAGTGAAACAACTCAGTAAGTCAGTTTGAAGATGTAGAGACCTCAGACCTTGCGTGTAGGAGGAAGCCAGTTTCCGGAGCGGGTGCAAGTGGAGCGCCCAGGCAGTGGCCACACTGCTGTGCCCCTGCTGGAAGGGAGTAGGACTGGGCCAGTGTGTCCTGGAAATAGCCAGCTGCCACTGAGGGCTGCTCCCATCCCAGGTGTCCCGAACACGGCTGGGGCGTTTGTGGGCCAGGCAGGTCTTTCTGGCTGTCTCAGCCCTCAGCTTGAGACTCCCTGCAAAGCTGGAGATGGGAGATCAGACGGCCGGAGCCTTCTGGGGGGACATCTCAGCCCTGTGTGACCCCTAGCCTGTCACCTGGTATAAAACCCCAAACGATTTCTCCAGGGCAGAGACCTGAAGCTTCCCTGCAAGATGACAAAACACGTGGCATCATGAACACATGAAAGATGGCAGCCTATCGTCAGGGACACTGACAGAGTATTTCTCCAGTGGCAGCTCCTCGGTCACAGCCAGTGACCGTGTGGTCTTGGCAGGTGGGAGCAGAGCCAGTGCCCCCACCCCCGCCACTGAGTCAGATCCATGCCACTCCTCTCACCTGCCTGCAACCCAAGGTGAGGCCGACACCTCACGCCCAGGCCCAGCTGCAGCGGGGGCAGTGAGGTCTGCCAGCCAGCCCTGCCCGTGCCAGCCTCGCTTGCCCCTAACTCTGCCTGGTGCTCAAGCACAGCCCCCAGATCTGAAAGCTCTTTGTGGGAACTGGGCTCAGATCTTAGCGCTCCGGGAATCAGCTGCTCCCATCTGCCCTCCTGCCCCGCTGGGGCCCTTGACACCAGCTGCTCCCTTCTGTCACCCACACCGATCGCCTCTGAGGCCACGCTGCTCCAGGGGACTGGGTCTCATCGCCCTGCTGCGGGCATTTGCTGTCTGTCAGAATCTGGTCCTGGGCAGTAAACATAGGGCTGAGCTGCTACCCTCACACTGAGAATCTGTCAGCTGTGATGCTGATACTCACAAAGCAAATGTGGCCACATCCACTTGTCTGCAGGAAGACCTGGAAAAGTCATCCGAGTCTATCGGGAAAGCCACCCTGGGAAGCCTGTCAGCTCGAGAGCCCTTGGGAAGCCCCAGGGGCCACAAGGTGTCTGGAGGACAGCTTCACTGAGGCCTGGGTATGCTTGCACAGGGGGCACACAGCCAGTTACACCCAGAATCCAGAATAATAGGGAGACCCCAGCATGATTCAGAAGGTGCTCTGGTTTTAGGGAGGACACCAGGGATTTGGATTCCCCACGGAACCCAGATGCAGCCAGTCTCTGGACAAGTCATGGAGATGTCAGCATAGGGTCACCAGGTCCAACTAAAACTCACAAGGGTCCTTTCAGAGTAGAGCTCCCAGCAGGATCAGTCCTACCCCATGAGGGTTTAGTTCTCCCTATAATCAGCACAGAGGTCATGAATTTCTGGAGCTGCCCTACGTTCCCTGGTCATCTGTCTGAGCTTTCAGTCTGCCCTAAGCCAGCCTCTCAGAGGGACAAATGGCTCATGGCAAGGTCAACAGGTGCAGCACGTGGAGGGAGCTGGTGGGATGTGAGGGGAGGCTATGGGGTGTTGAAGGGTGGAGGACAACTCAAGCTTCGAGACAGAAGAGGTCAGACTGGGTGAACTATGCGGTTCCCCCACTTTTCTAGGGGCTGGGACGTGGCCCTCCCAAGACTATTAGGACCAAATTCTGACCTTTGAGACACGCACTGGGCAGAATCCTGAGAACAGGTGTCAGGAATGGGGCTGAGGCCACAGAGCCCCAGCCGCATCTGCAACTTAACAGCAGACCCTGCCAGACCCCAGCATCAACTACATCTGGCTGGGGCAGGGACAGGTGGCAGATGTGGCTGGATCCTTGCATGTAGAACCACGCTCAGAAAATAATTTAGTGGGAGGTGGTGTATGAACCACTTCCACCTTGCCCATCCCACTGAGGATGCAGACATCCATTCATGTGGGCACTCCAAAAGTGCTGAGCATGGCGGCACACTTGTAGTTCCCGCACTCTTGGAGGCTGAAAAAGGGAGATCACAACTTCGAGCCTACCCTGAGCAACTTAGCAAGACCCTGTCTTAAAAAAGGGTGTTCTGGGGAGTAGCTCAGTGTGAGGCTCTGGGTTCAGCCCCTGTATCCCCACCCGCAAAAAGGTACTAGGTGTACCTGCCCCTTGACCCTGCAAAATCATTCTCAATCTTATACCTAACAGACATGTATGCAAATGTTCAACCAAAAAACAGCAAGAACAGCAAATGGTAGGGTCAGCCCTGGAGGAATCCTAATGCCCACTACAGTGGAAAAGTTGCACTGTCCCACAGTGGGAACGCACAACGGGGTGCACAAGCACGATGCTGGAGGTAGACATCTGGAAGAACGTGGTATATACTTTCACTGCTAAGAAATTTAGAACATGCAAAATTCTGCCTATTGTTAGAGGACTGCAGGATATTATTGAATCTGGAGGATGGATGAATGCAGAATTCGGGGGACGTCAGTGCAGGTCATTTCTATGTGCCTGGCCGGGGTGCTGGTCATACAGCTGTTTGCGCCATGAGTGAGTCAGCTGCCTATGTGGTTTGTGAATATTGCTGGCCACAAAGTTACTTGGAAAAGACAGTGACTTTGAGGAAAAGATGGGGGCCCCTACTCTGTTTCAAGTGGAGCCTGGCATCTACTTGGCACTTAGTGAATAACTACCGACTGCCAGGAGGACGCAGGAGTGAACCAAACAACCCACCCTCGGGGGACGACATGCGCCCTTGGGTAGGTGGACAAGGCAAGATCCAAACTACCCCCCCTCTGAAGCTGGCTTCCTGGGGGGTGGGGGTGGGAAGGAGGGGGGACAGAGTGGTGGCCCTGGACACCCAGGGAGGAGGGGCTGCTGGGGTGAAGATGTGAGCAGCATCTCTGAGCCAGGGCTGCCCGAGGTGGAAGGCAGGAGCGGGTGGGGGCTCAGCAGGTCGGACCCCTGCCTGCAGTCACCCTGGCAGCCCGGAGGGTGACACTGAGGAGGCCGTTCCTGCTCTCCCCGCCCAGACACGTGATTCTGCAGCTGCACCTTTGGGAAAACATTTTCAGCAGGCAAAGCCGAGTGGAAAGACACTGCTTCTAAAAGGATCCCCAAAGCTCTGAATTATTTATTTGCTAAGCATTCATCATTGACGAGGCTCCTGTTGGTTTTCCTCTTCCACCAACTCCTTCGTACCCCTTGCCAGGGCAGGCTCTGGGTGGTCAGAGGTGACCTTTGTGAGGCATTTCCCCACACGTCCTCCAGAACTCTGCTTTGCTGTGGATGGAGCTTTGCAGAGGAAGCAGCATGGGCTGTGCCCGGTGGCCCACACTGCCTCTCCTGGAGGGCAGGGCAGTCCCCTCCCCTGTCAGCAGGGAGCAGCACACGCAGAGGCTCTGCGGGGGTCCCCCAGCTCTGCTCCCTACAACAGTGGCTGAAGGAGGAGGGACTTGCTCCACCCCCTTCCACAAAAATGCCTCCACAATCATAAGGACC